GCATTAATTGTGTCTGTGTGTTTTTTCCCCTCCTGAGATATCCACACTCATCGGTCGGAAGAAGTAGGCAGAAACATGAAGCAGGAAGGCGTTGAAAGTAGGTTGGGTGTCCACCCGCCCCCTAAGGCCCTGAGGAGGAGGGAAAGGGGGAAGCCACTCGATCACTGAAATAGGAAGGCGCTGAATGTAGATAAGAAGATGGGAATCCAAAACTATTCCCCACGTTCCACGACCGATGGGTATCCACCTCTCTGTCTCGAGAGGGAGATACCAGGGCACGACTCCGAAGCGGTGGATATGGACATATCCTGGCGCTGGTCTCCCGTGTCCCCCCAGGTAGAGGGACGAACAACTGCATGAACAAAATTTCTCTGAGGCCCGCGCAGATCTCTTGGATCGGCGCTGGACCGATCCAAGACATCCGCGCGGACCTCCGAGAAAAGATGCGTACAGCATGCCGCTGCTTCATGTTCTTCTGTCGGCGGCGAGCGAGGGGGGAAACTGAGAGGGGGCGGGCAAGCTCGGAAGTGCCTCGGCCTCCTGAGAAGCCCCGCCGCCTTCTGAGAAGGCCTCGATCTTCCTCCTCTGCCGAGGCTGGCCAGCTGACCACGGGCCTTGAGGGCGTAGTGGCTCTCCAGGCGGCCCGGGTTGCCGGGGACCCACGTGTCGGACGGGTCGCGCAGGCGCCGAGCACTCCCTCGGGAGCCCCCGCGGGATCTCCCGGCCGGTCCACGGCCAAGTCCCGATGCCGGCACGACCGGCCGGGGCCCGATCGGCCCAGATTCCGATCGCGTGGGCGGGGGGCCATCACACGCCAGCGGCCGCGCGGCACGACTTGGCGGCCAGGCGATGGACGGCACCGAGCTGGCCGGAGAGGGCAGGCGGCGGTGGAAACAAACATTGCCAAGGCGGCTTTTGAAGGGGCCCCAGGACACGCGAATAAATACCCACAAATAAAAAGATTCCCCAGACTTTCAAATAGTTTTTTTGGCTTTTGTCTTCCCCCCCCCTCACTTCCCATATTTTCCTATATTTTCTTGGGAATCGACGATTAATTGTGTCTGTGTGTTTTTTCCCCTCCTGAGCTTTGTATGTATACCTAACAAAAACCATCGGCGATCCCCCAGGCACCGGTCCCACACTGAGTGGGCCCTGGAGACGACAGGGTCGTTTTTGTTTACCGGTTCCGTTTTGCCATTTTTGTTACCGGTTCCGACGCCGTTTCTTTACCGGTTCCGTCGACGTTCTTTTACGGGTTCCCGCTCCGGTTCCAATCCTGGAGTCGTTTTTGTTGCCGTTTCCGGCCGCCGTTTTTTTGCGGTTTCCATTTTCAAGGAACATTTTTCCGGAAACGGTGAAAAACGGCCCTGCCGTTTCCGGGGCCCACTAAGTACTAGTACTATATGTTATCCTTGGAGGCGCGCGTCCGCACCGAACATAAAGTATACCCATCTTGTAGCAAATCGTTTCTGGAGCGGTGTGGTCAGACAGCGCTCGCCACGATGCATGTACTGTAAGATTTCTCGGTGCGCGCGTCGCCCCTGGGGGGCGACGCACATATGGCATAAGTATGTCGGGATGGCGCCGATGGGAGGGCCAGAATCATGCCGTCGAAGATCTCCAGCGGCCTCCAGAGGCCCCTCTCTGGATACCCCCCGAAGGGGTGGACAGCGTGCCAGAGCATGGAACCTCGAACGACCCCCAGACATCCAGCGATGCGTGATTTTCAGCGCGCGGCCCCTCAGCTCCTTACGGTAGGTTCGTGCGGCGTCGGCGCGCGCAAAAGCTTTTGACACCGCGTCGATAGTTCAACCTTGAAGCGATCGCGGCCCCGATCGTTCAAGGTTGAATTCCGTCGGGTCCAAAAGCGACACCGCGTCCCTCGGTGCTCCCGCGTCGCAGAATTCCACCTGGAACGCCGTCGCCGGCGTCGCCGGCGGGCCATTGCCGCACGAGCCTGCCGTATACCTTTCTTCTGGGGCCCGGCAACGGCCCCTGGGGGCCGAAGTAAGAGAAAAGCAGAAGAGCCGGACTGCAAGCATCGCATCGTCGGAGATGTGGGCCCTCGGACCTCGAGGACCGGGCCAAAACACACGGGAGGCGGGCGCGCCACGGGAGGAGGAGGAGGAGGAGGAGGAGGAGGAGGAGGAGGAGGAGGAGGAGGAGGAGGAGGAGGGGGAGGAGGCGCCCCCTGGCCGGGGCCGCTCCGCTGAGGCCCGGGCCCGGCGACTCCCGCGAGCGCGGGCCGCCGCACATGTCCTCCACGATCCTGCCGAGGCACGTCATGGCGCGGGCCGTGCGCCAGGCAGGCGGGCCGCGTCGGCCTGGGATCGGGGGCCCCCAAACCTACTCCAGATTTCGTAATAAAGGGAGGGGGTTCGCATTTCGGGGGGGGTCTCTTCCAGGCTATCTTGGAGGGCCTGGGGGGTCTGGGGACGATGTTTTGGAGGGTTCTCCCAGGGGGGGGGGTCTAAAACTTCTCGTCTGGGAGGGTTGGGACCCCCTCCCTTTTATTACGAGATCTGGAGTAGACGTCCGGCGCGCCGAAGAACTCGAGGCGGAGGAGTTGTGTCATCGCGTGCGGTCTCTCGGGGCCCTTTGCCGGGCCTCCGGGCCGGCAACAAACGGCTCGAGACGAGAAAGCAATCCTGTGGAAGTGGTCGAAAGCACTATTGGGGTTTGGATACAAATCGAGACGCCAGATGTCGGGAAGGGCGCGGTGACCACACCGCGTGGTGGGTCAGTAGGGATTCGGGGTCAGCGCACGGTTTTGGGACTCGGGTCGTTTTCCGAAGACGTCTCCGGCGATCCGGGCCTCCGAGGTCCCAAAACCGCGCGATGACAGACGGTGCGGTGAGTTCCCTTGGAGTTTCGAGGTCACCGCGCGGTCCGTCACCGCGCGGTCTTGGGGCCCCAATGGGAGGGGGGGGTCGTAATCCGCCGGCCCCCTTGCGGGGCCATCAGGCTGCGAGGGTTAAGCTTGCTGCTCCCTGCGCCAGTTCCAGTTTCCAGTTTCCATTGTTACAATACTGCTTTCTGCTTCCTACTGTAAATTGTTACTGTCCGCGCGAGGGGGGGGGGAGCCGAAAACTGCCCTGGTTAGCGTCCCCCGGGAGGGTTGTCAGAATTCCTTGGGGGGTAAAAATTGGCACCCCTCACGCAGATCGGCAGGGTCAGGGTCCAAAAACATTAGCCTGGCGAAGGACCAACCATATGCAGTTGTGAGTAATGCTGGTGTGAGTACCGTCTTCGGTGGATCTCCCTATGGGGCCACGAACCGTTTGAGGGGTGTGCCGACATGGGTGTGGGGGCGGCATGCGAACGTTGCCACTGGGGCCTTCGGTGGAGCTCCTTATGGGGCCACGAAACGTGTGAGGGGTGCACCGAAGTTGGTGAGGGGGCGGCATGCGAACGCAGCCACTGGGGCCTTCGGTGGAGCTCCCTGTGGGGCCACGAAACGTGTGAGGGGTGTGCCGAAAGTGGTGTGGGGGCGGCATGCGAACGCAGCCACTGGGGCCTTCGGTGGAGCTCCCTATGGCGCCACGAAACGTGTGAGGCGTGTGCCGAAATGGGTGTGGGGGCGCATGCGAACCCTGCCACTGGGGCCTTCGGTGGAGCTCCCTATGGGGCCACGAAACGTGTGAGGGGTGTGCCGAAATGGGTGGTGGGGAGGCATGCGAAGCCACTGGGGCCTTCGGTGGAGCTCCCTATGGGGCCACGAAACGTGTGAGGGTGTGCCTGCGTGCCACGGTGCTCCCTATGGGGCCCGAACCGTGTGAGGGGTGTGCCGAAATGGGTGGTGGGGAGGCATGCGAACGCACTGGGGCCTTCGGTGGAGCTCCCTTGGGGCACGAACGTGTGAGGGGTGTGCCGAAATGGGTGTGGGGAGGCATGAGTGTATGGGCCTTCGGTGGAGCTCCCTATGGGGCCACGAAACGTGTGAGGGGTGTGCCGAAATGGGTGGTGGGGAGGCATGCGAACGCAGCCACTGGGGCCTTCGGTGGAGCTCCCTATGGGGCCACGAAACGTGTGAGGGGTGTGCCGAAATGGGTGGTGGGGAGGCATGCGAACCCTGCCACTGGGGCCTTCGGTGGAGCTCCCTATGGGGCCACGAAACGTGTGAGGGGTGTGCCGAAATGGGTGGTGGGGAGGCATGCGAACCCTGCCACTGGGGCCTTCGGTGGAGCTCCCTATGGGGCCACGAAACGTGTGAGGGGTGTGCCGACATGGGTGGTGGGGAGGCATGCGAACCCTGCCACTGGGGCCTTCGGTGGAGCTCCCTATGGGGCCACTAAACGTGTGAGGGGTGTGCCGAAATGGGTGGTGGGGAGGCATGCGAACCCTGCCACTGGGGCCTTCGGTGGAGCTCCCTATGGGGCCACGAAACGTGTGAGGGGTGTGCCGAAATGGGTGGTGGGGAGGCATGCGAACCCTGCCACTGGGGCCTTCGGTGGAGCTCCCTATGGGGCCACGAAACGTGTGAGGGGTGTGCCGAAATGGGTGGTGGGGAGGCATGCGAACCCTGCCACTGGGGCCTTCGGTGGAGCTCCCTATGGGGCCACGAAACGTGTGAGGGGTGTGCCGAAATGGGTGGTGGGGAAGCATGCGAACCCTGCCACTGGGGCCTTCGGTGGAGCTCCCTATGGGGCCACGAAACGTGTGAGGGGTGTGCCGAAATGGGTGGTGGGGAGGCATGCGAACCCTGCCACTGGGGCCTTCGGTGGAGCTCCCTATGGGGCCACGAAACGTGTGAGGGGTGTGCCGAAATCGGTGGTGATGATGATGATGATGATGATGATGATGATGATGATGATGATGATGATGATGATGATCATGATGATGATGAATACTGATGATGATGATGATGATGATGATGATGATGATGATGATGATGATGGTGATGATGATGATGTGATGATGATGATGATGATGATGATGATTATGATGATGATGATGATGATGATGATGATGATGATGATGATGATGATGATGATGATGATGATGGGAGGAGAGAGGGGGGAGGGAGGAGGAGGAGGTGAGGAACGCGGGGCGCCGTCTCTTCAAAACGAGGACCCAACACCACAGGATGGTTGGGAACAAAGGAGGTGCCACATTTCTAAAACAAATCCTGGCACCCCTCACGCAGATCGGCGGGGTCAGGGTCCAAAAACATAGGGGATGTGCCGCATGCTTTAAATTCGGTGGCACCCCTCACGCAGATCGGCGGAGTCAGGGTCAAAAAACACATGGAATTTGCAACATTTCTGACATCCGGTGGCACCTCTCACGCAGATCGGCGGGATCAGGGTCAAAAAACGCAAGGGATTTGCCACATTTCTAAAATTTCCTGGCCCCCTTCATGCAGATCGGCGGGATCAGGGTCCAAAAACACAAGGGATTTGCCGCATGTTTAAAATTCGGTGGCACCCCTCACGCAGATCGGCCAGGTCAGGGTCCAAAAACACAAGGGATTTGACACATTTTGAAATTTCCTGGCACCCCTCATGCAGATCGGCGGGGTCAGGATCCAATGCCAGCGTCGTCCTGACCGCAACCGAGCAAGGCACGCGTCTGGGCGTCTCGCAAGCGCGACCCCAACGCAGAGCTCTTGCGCTGTGATGTAGGCCTGTGATGAAGGCCGAAGCACAAACGAACACTTTTCTTCACGCACCATTGATCGCCATGGTCTGGATCACAGCCCGCGAGGCGCAGACAATTTCTGCAACCCCCGCCTGCAAGTCCTTGCGCTGGAGATTCCGAACCGTTTTGGGGAGTCGTCGGACGGCGGCCGCCTCGGCGCCGCTGCCAGGCAGCCGCAAGGTGACGAGCTCCAGGGCCACGACTTGGCCAATGGCGAGGAGCAGCTGCATCAGCGCACAGAGGAGTGGACATGGGGCGAGCTGGGTACTTAAGATCGTCGCGTCTCCCAGCCTTGCGGCTACTGGACGCGCACATCCAAAGGGAGGGCCAACGACCAGGCTCTGGGCTGTGCCCGTCGGGTCGCCTGCAAGAAGCGGCGCGGCCGATGACCTTTCCCGCGCCAGTGCGGCACTTGATTCGCCAAGTGCGCCGTGGAAGGTGCCAATCAGCTGGCCAGGGAGTAGCGCCGCAAGGGCTAATATCAACTGCCGGCAATGCGCGCCAGCTCGCATCGCCGCCCATGAAGAGAGCACGTACATCTGAACTACACGATCGGCTTCGATCTCGCCGCGGTCCCGCTCGCGAAAGGCACGCAGATCATGGCATCCACCCCGCAAAGCCATGAGCGGGACAAAGCATCCCCCACGTGTCACTACCATCCCGCAGCAATCGCGCATGACGGGCGCACTCGTAGCCCTCTAATTCTAGACGGTCGTGCACCAATGCCACACTAGTCGCGCGCTAATCGCGCACTACTCGCGCACTAATCGCGCACTAATTGCGCACGCATCGCGCACCAATCGCGCACGAATCACAGGCCGGGCGGGCGCGGGTGCCCGCGCTGAATGCGCACGAAGAAGTGGCGCACGAAGTCCCAATGCTCTGGCAGTACTTCTACGCGTTAGTCTACACGTGGCCTTCAAGTCCACCCTTCGTGCTCTGAGACTCATGCCAGGCGGGGCGCTCCGCCGAACCGAACTCAGCGCCGGGCCTCCCTCCCAGGACGCGTCAGCTCGGTGCGCCGCCCAGCGGGGCGACCCGGGGCGGCGCTGGGGGGGGGGTGGCCAGACTAGCCGCCCCGGGTGGCCCGCGGGCGGGCCGGGCCGGTCCCCGCCTCAGCAAGCCCCCCCCATTCTGCTTGGTCAGAGCCCCGAATCATCAGGGGTAACTCTGGTCAGGGCTAACTCGGGTTCGCTTTTCGGGATTCCGAACCCGCGTTACCCCGGGCCCGAATTACCCCGGATAACTCGGGCGCCCAGAGCCCCAAATCATCAGGGGTAACTCGGGTCAGGGCTAACTCGGGTTCGCTTTTCGGGAATCCAAACCCGCGTTACCCCGGACCCGAGTTACCCCGGATAACTCGGGCGCCCAATTTGGGTGCGGACCAGCCGCCCGACCCCCCTGCGGGGCTCGCAGGGGGAGGCGCCCCCTCGCCCTGGGTCTGCGCAGGGGCCGGGCGGAAGCCAGCGAGGAGTGTCGGCGGGGCCCGCGGGGTGCCTCTGTGGGGCCTTCGGGGGCAGTCTGGGGCGCATCGCAAGATCCACGGGGCCTCGGGGGACTCTGCGAGAGGCCGCTGGGGAGCAGGCGTCTACGCTACTCGGCTCTACCCTGCCCTCTCTGATGTACCCTGCGCTACCCCATGTCGCTTGGCGTGACTCTTCCATCTGACCTGCCCTACATTACC